AGGGCATTCAGGGTGGGCTGAGTGGGATTTGGGGCTGGTTTGGGTGTATGGGGGATCCTGGCTGGGATTTGAGGCAGTATATGGCAGGTGGTGCAGAGTGAGGCTGTGTTGGGGTGAGGGTGGTGGAGCTGAGTGGGATTTAAGGCTGGGTTGGGGTGAGAGGGGTCTTGGGATTTGAGGCAGTGTTTGGGTGGGGAGTAGTGATGGGGATTTGGGGCTCTGTTTGTAGCTGAAGGGCATTCAGGGAAGGTTGGGGGGAGCAGTGGGGCTGAGTGGGATTTGGGGCTGGTTTGGGTGTATGGGGGGGTCCTGGCTGGGATTTGAGGCAGTGTTTGGGTGGGGAGTAGTGATGGGGATTTGGGGCTCTGTAGCTGAAGGGCATTCAGGGAAGGTTGGTGGGAGCAGTGGGGCTGCGTGGGATTTGGGGCTGGTTTGGGTGTATGGGGGGGGCGGTCCTGGCTGGGATTTGAGGCAGTGTTTGGGGGGTGCAGTGTGAGGCTGTGTTGGGTGTTGTGGAGCTAAGTGGGATTTAAGGCTGGGTTGGGGTGTGTGTGGGGTTCCTGACTGGGGTAGTGGGAGTGATGGGAATTTGAGGCTCTGTTTGGAGCTGAAGGGCATTCAGGGAAGGTTGGTGGGAGCAGTGGGGCTGAGTGGGATTTGGGGCTGGTTTGGGTGTATAGGGGGGTCCTGGCTGGGATTTGAGGCAGTATTTGGGGGTGGGGGTGGGGAGTGCAGTGTGAGGCTGTGTTGGGGTGAGGGTGGTGGAACTGAGTGGGATTTAAGGCTGGTTTGGGCTGGGGGGAGTCCTGGCTGGGATTTGAGGTAGTTTTTTTTGGGGGGGTGCTGTGTTTGGGTGTTATGGAGCTGAGTGGGATTTGGGATTTGCGGCAGGTTTGGGTGTGTGTGGAGGTCCTGGCTGGGATTTGAGACAGTGTTTGGGTGGGGAGCAGTGATGGGAATTTGGGGCTCTGTTTGGAGTTGAAGGGTATTCAGGGCAGGTTTGGGAGGGTGGTGGGGCTGAATGGGATTTGGGGCTGGTTTGGGTGTGGGGTGGTCACAGAGTGGGAGTATTTGTGCTGAGTGGGATTTAGAATGATAGAATGATGGAATGGCCTGGTTTGAAAAGGAGCACGGTGCTCATCCAGTTCCAACCCTCTGCTATGTGCTGGGTCGCCAACCAGCAGACCAGGCTGCCCAGAGCCACATCCAGCCTGGCCTTGAATACATGCAGGGATGTATTTAGGGCTGTGTTTGGGCATTGGGAGTGGGTTCTTGGGCACATGTGGGGGCAGTGAAGTGGGCTGTGAGTGGATTGTGGGCGGTCCTGATCAGGAGAAATAGGGCTGTGGAGGGGCTGCTTGGAGTTGGGTTGGGAGATGCAGAGAAGGGAAGGGCTGGGGGGGAGCATTGGTAAATTGGGGCTGGGGGACTCAGAGGTGAGGTCTGCAGGCATCAAGGCACGGGGGAGGGCTGGGGGCAGAGCTCTGCACTGGGTGCTGGGGAGGGTGGGCACTGATGATGTTGGGCTGGCTGCACTAAGGCTGTGGGTTTGGGAAAAGGCTGCTCCTGGTACAGGCAGGTTGCTGTGTGGCAGATGTGAGCTGTAACAAAATCTTGAGCCTCATGCTGCTGTGTGGGGATGGGTTTCTTTGATATTTGGAAGGCTGCACAGTGGGGCTTTGCTATATGAAAGGGGAGTCGGAGCCCCCAAGCTGGCCGTGGGGCAGGGAGATGCTGGTTCCTGGGGGTGGCGGAGGGCAGTCTGAGATCCATGTGTGCCCTTTGCATTGCTGTCTGCTGAGATGCAGTCAGGCTGCTGCTCAAAGTGAATCTCAAAGGTCTCCTAAGTGATGCAGAGATGGATGGGTGTGGAGGTGGGGCTCCATCAAAAGAGGGGTGGCCAGCAGGGACAGGGAGGAGATTGTCCCTCTCTACTCTGCTCTTGTGAGTCCCCATCTGCAGTACTACGTCAAGATGTGGAGCCCCCAGTACTAAAAAGACAGGAAGCTGTTGGAGAGGGTCCAGAGGAGGGCACAAAGAGGATCAGAGGGCTGCAGCACCTCCACTACAAAGACAGGCTGAGGGAGCTGGGCTTGTTCAGCCTGGAGAAGAGCAGGCTGTGGGGTGAATCATTGCAGCCTTCAGGACCTAAAGGGAGCCTACAGGCAGGAGGGGAGTCAGCTCTTGGAAAGGGGAGATAACAGCAGGACAAGGGGAAATGGTTTGAAGCTCAGGGAGGGCAGATTTCAGTTGGATGTCAGGGGGAAGTTCTTTAGAGAGTGGTGAGGTGCTGGAACAGCTGCCCAGGGAGGCTGTGGATGCCCCGTCCATCCCTGGAGGTGTTCAAGGCCAGGTTGGATGGGGCCCTGGGCAGCCTGGGCTGCTGTGAAATGTGGAGGTTGGTGTCCCTGTGTGTGGTGGGGGGCTGTAGCTTCATGATCCTCGAGGTCCCTTCCAACCCAAGCCATTCTGTGGAGGTGGGATTGCAGGGCTGTAATGCCTGTAGGCTGTGAGGGGACGCAGGCTGAAGCCTCCTGTTGGAGCCCTCTTCCTTCCTGCCTCCTCACCTCACATTTCAACAAAGCAGAGCAAATCTTACTGCTATTTTAATTCGTGTTTGGCTTCCGATCGATGACAACGTGCGTGTCATTCGTTGCTGACATGATGGCACTTGAGTTTATTTCCATTACATGGGTCATCTCGTGTAGGTTGATTTATTTTGAGCTGATTTCTCTCATATACAAATGAGAAATGTTGAAGTTCACATTAAAAATAGACCCTTTTTCTGTTTAAAGGCGGGGATGTACATGGGCTGTCCTTCATTTTTTGTGTGTGTTGTCTTGTGGGCTCTCTTGTGCAGAACTTGTCAGTGTAATGTCATTAAAGGGTCCTTGTTGCTGGAGATTGTTTCAGTGATAGGGTTGAGGAAGCTTTTGCTAGTTGATGAGGTGTAGATTTTTTTCCTCCTCCTGGCTTGTGAAGGGATTTGAGTTGTCTCTCTGTGTCCATTGGGTTGGGCATTCTGTCCTCACGAGTGCATGATGTCTTCATTGATCTGCTGATCACTTTTCAGCCTGACAGATTCCCTGTGGTCACAAGAAGGTCAGAGAGCCCTATAAAAACAGAACAGACACTCCCCCCCCATGACCCTCTGTGGCTGTGCATCCCTGCTCCCTGTGCCACAGTGCTGGTTGCTGGGGAGGCTCCCAAAGGATTGAAATGGAGCTGAATGATCACGGGGATCAGAGGAAAATCACACCGGCACCAAACCCAACCTCCTGAAGCCTTTCAGAGGTAGCCCTTCTGGTGCTCAGCTGAGGAACAGCCTGATGGTCAAAGCCAGGCTGGATGTGGCTCTGGGCAGCCTGGTCTGCTGGTTGGCGACCCTGCACATAGCAGGGGGTTGGAACTGGATGAGCACTGTGCTCCTTTGCAACCCAGCCCATTCTGTGATTCTGTGTTCAAGCTGTCTTAAGGTGACAGCAATTGTGGGACAATTTAAGTGCTATAAATGCCTATGAGCTGCCAATTTTTACCCTCTTGACCCATTTCTTTCCAAGCTTTTTTCACAGGTGGAAGTCCTTTGTTGCACACAAACCATCCTTTTGCCTTTTGAAATAAAATGGCACTTTTTTTCATGTTTGGGCATAAGTTTGGGAGCCTCACCGCATGTGGTGTCAGCCTGCACAGGCACTGAATTCAGCTTTTATTAACTCTGCTGAGGGTAAAACTGCATTTTCAGTGCTGTGTCCCAACTTTCCACTGAAATGTGCCATTTCAAAACAAATGAGGGAAAGGAATTATGTATTTCTTGTCGAGATTTGGCTTAAACTTTACCAAAAATATATGTGGTCTGTGTTTGTTTGTAGGTGAAAGTTACACAGGAGCTGAAAAACATCCAGGTGGAGCAGATGACAAAGCTGCAGGCCAAGCATCAGGCAGAATGTGAGCTACTTGAGGATATCAGGTAAGGTTACAGAGAGCATTACCAGAATTCCTTTAGGATCCAGTTTTTGGAAGAACGTTTGAGTTACAAAACTTCAGGAACTGACGATGGAATTTCCTCTTTGGATTTCCTGCTTTCAGGCTGTTAAAGTTCTGACACAGCTGGAAATTATAACTGCAGCTAACACAATGCAAACGCTTTTTTCTTCTCTTCAATGGGGGAAGTGTTTAAAAAAAAAAAAAAAAAAACAACTCCCAAACAACAGACCAAAAGCACTGGGCTTTTCAGCAGTATTTCTCTATATAATAGATGGATACTTTGATTTACTGCTTGTAAGAGGCTGTTTAAAATTATTACAGATCTTTTAAAACCACTGATGATTTACATCTTGCTAGGAAGAGCTTTGAGCAGCACTTTTAAATAGATTGGTTTGGGGGGTTTGTTGTTTTTTTTTTTACCAGAATAAAGAAAATATTTGCATTTACAATTTAAAGATCAGTAGGGAAAACCTACGTGCTATCAGTTCTGTGTTGCTTTTGCACAACAAGGACGTGGAGCTCTTGGAGCGGGTCCAGAGGAGGGCACTAAGATGATCAGAGGGCTGGAGCAGCTCTCCTATGAGGAAAGGTTGAAGGAACTGCAATTGTTTAGCTTGGAGAAGAGAAGGCTGCAGGGAGACCTCATTGTGGCCTTCAGTACTTGAAGGGAGTGGATAAACAGGAGGGGGAACGGCTGTTTGTGAGGGTGGATGGTGATAGGACAAGGGGGAATGGCTTTAAAGTGAGACAGGGGAGGTTTAGGTTGGATATGAGGAGGCAGTTTTTGAGCCAGAGGGTGGTGAGGCAGTGGAACAGGTTGCCCAAGGAGGCTGTGGATGCCCCATCCCTGCAGGCATCCAAGGCCAGGCTGGATGTGGCTCTGGGCAGCCTGGTCTGCTGGTTGGTGACCTGCACACAGCAGGGGATTGGAACTGGGTGAGCATTGTGCTCCTTTGCAACCCAGCCCATTTTGTGATTCTTTGATCCTTTCACATGAAATTTTCCTATTAACAGAAGAGGTGGCAGTGGTTGCGTGATGTTCTGTAGGGGATTGATTGCCCTGTTTGGAGGGGACCAATTTTTAGCGTGGTTCTTCCTTCCAGAATTCAGCAGTGGGGATGCTCTCTTCCTCCTCTTTTTTTTTCCCCTTGTTTCTCAGGTGTTTGTAATTCCTTCAGGCTGCTTTCCTGCTGAAAGGCATCCTGAGCGTTGTGGGTTCTAGAACAGCAAAACACGTGGAAACATTGGCTCGAAATGTTTTATTTTTATTATAACTTAATTTTTAATGTTAATTTAATTTGTAAATGTTGATGTTATGGATTAAGAGATGGGATTATTTAATTCATTAAGATGATCAGTAAACAGGCACGGTCTGTTCAGCATCCTCGTTACAGTCAGTCTGTGTTTGCAGAATCACTGTGTGGATTTGCATGTTAAACATGGAGCCATGTGAGGGATATGGCAGCTCCAGTACCTCCAGGAGTTGTTCAAATAGCAGAGAATGGGAATGGAGGGGACAGCAGAGTTCTGGCTTAGGAATGCTTGCTGAAAAATGCTGGTATGTATATGTTGGTATATATGTGCCAGCAATGTATATAAACCAAAGCACTTGTCTGGGCTTTAATGCTCTTAATTACATTCTTAATATCATTTCAGTCCAGTTTTCTCTAAAACTTCAAGTGTCTGTAATGCAGAAGGGATGTGAGGAAAAGATCACAAAGTTCTCTTATGAATTGTACTGAAATGCACCCATTGTCTGCTGTAGTAGAGGCAGATGACTTTTGGCAGTAAACCAGATCATAAACATACTTTTCATTCCAGTAGCTTTGATATTTTTTCCAAAACTGAGCACTGTTTTGAGTGTTTGCAGTTGGAAAGTTTAAACTGTGTCATTTGGAGAGGATGAAGGCTGGTGCTGTTTATTCCCAATGGGATTCTTCTCAGTAGAGGCTGAGGCAAACAGGTGTAACTGGCTTCTCTCCACCCCTCTGCAGATAGCACATCTCCTTAGGGCTGTACGTACACCAAACCACTGTGCTTAATTACATCTAAAATATGTCTTTTTTTCACTGATAATACAGTGTTTAGCATGCCAAGAATGTAGCTTCAGGTCATAGAGGCCGAGAAGAAAGGCGCTGTGTTTTGCTTACGGAGAGCATGCTTAGAACTCAACAAAGCTACGTGCAGGTAGTTGAGCTGAGAGCTTTGCTTGGGGTTGGACAACTTCTGACACAACATAAAATTGTAAGATGCATAAAAATTGTAAGATCTATTGCAGCCTCACAAACTGCTCTGCGTTTTCCCTTCTCTGTGACAGCTTAGTAGCAGCAAAGCTGGAATATCTTTTTATGACCTGACAAGGCTATAATGAAAAATGTGTGTTTGAAGTCTATTAGCAAGTAGGTTTAAAAATATCTTTGTGTTTATCATTCTCTCTTTGGCTCTTTGTGTTAACATTTCTTCATACTTGGTGACTGGGGAATTGGTGGAACAAGTGATTCAGTTGGCACAGTTCTAGGCAAGGCATCTTCTGTAGCTCATTGAAGCCATCGTGTCCTTTCATGTAGTGGATCTACGCTGGTCTTGCTAGAAGGAGGTTGTCTCTCTCTTCTGTTACAGTTGCAGAGTTTGCCTTCCAGAGGAAAAAGGCTCTGAGCTTTGTTGCTGTGATGCACACATCCTTTATAGCTTCTCCCTGGCTGCAGGTGCTTTGCTCTGTGCACACCTGGCTGTGTCTTGGCAGCAAGTTCATCCCATTCCCAATGGCCAACTGGGTTAGGAGTGGCTGGATTTGTATCAGGGGTGCTGGTAGTTCTCAAATATCTTGTTCTGGTTTTAAACGTTGTGTTATTTGATTGGTGGTAGTCAAGAAGTCGTGTTGGTGGTGTGAAACTGCCCTTAGTTTGCCAAGATGTAGGCATAGCTTTTGTGTGTCTGCAAAACTGTAAAGAGCTCCACCTGATCCACGCTGGGATTCCAGTTGATATTTCTGTAATCTGTGCTGCCTATGATCCCAATAGCTGTTCAGCTGATAGCACCTTTACCTTGCATGTTATCTCAGTGCCTCATTTTCCAAGCAACTTCGTGTGCTTTTACAGGTTTTGCAATTGTAGTCATAAAATGCTTTTTTCTTTTCAATCATTTCTTTGCTTTCGTGCTTTGCCAGTGGTTATGTTGCAGTTTTAATCCATGCTGAAGACTGCATTGCCTCTGCAGGGCCAGCCCTGCTTGCCAGCTCCTCGTGCTGTCGCTCTGTGGATTCCCATGCTGGGGCAGCCAGATGGGTGAGGGCGCTCAGCCCCTTTCCCAGCTCTTCTCCCCAATGGTGGTTGGAGGTAAGTCTGCACCCTGAGGCTTCAGCAGAAGGCAGGGTTGCAGCCTGAGGAATCACAGAGCTGGAAGGGCCACCTGCTTTGAGTCTTAGCAAACTTTCTGCAGTCTGGATGTGCTGATCCTATGTTACTTCATCACATGGAGTCAGTTGAGTGCATATGTTGTGTTACATTGAAAGGAGATGTAAAGACTGCATGCCTTCTGGCTGAGATGGAACAGCAGTGTGGTCAGTCATAGAATGATAGAATGGCCTGGGTTGAAAAGGACCTCAGAGTTTCAACCGCCTTCTATGTGCAGGGTTGTCAACGACCAGACCAGGCTGCCCAGAGCCACATCCAGCCTTCAGGGATGGATTCTCCTCTCACCCTATTTCTTTGCTATTTGCCTTCTTGCTGTCATGTCTTTGTGCAGTGTGTTCTGCCTTCCTCCTCTCCTCCTCATGGAAAATTGTTCCCCTTCCCAATTTGTCAGCTAATTTTTTTGTTTTCTCCCGGCTGCTTCATCTCTTCCTTTCCTTATTCCATTCTGAGCTCTGTATTTTAATTGATTACCTCTATTTACAAGATGCTTTAATACGTGGTGTTGAGCAGTACAGTTCAGAACTGCTGCATGTAAGTGTGCAGGGGTGAAGGAGGCGAACAGGAATTTGTGCTTACACCCCCAGTACAAGGACAGAGTGAATCTTAGAATGATAGAATGGCCTGGGTTGCAAAGGAGCACAATGCTCATCCACTTCCAACCCCCTGCTGTGTGCAGGTCGCCAACCAGCAGCCCAGGCTGCCCAGAGCCACATCCAGCCTGGCCTTGAATGCCTGCAGGGATGGGGCATCCACAGCCTCCTTGGGCAACCTGTTCCAGTGCCTCACCACCCTCTGGCTGAAAAACTTCCTCCTCATATCCAACCTTAAACTCCCTTGTCTTAGTTTAAAACTATTTAAACCATTCCCCTTCATTCCTTAGTTTCAAACCCTAAAACTAAAACCCTTAAACTAAATCCTTTAGTTTAAAACCATTACGTGTGCTTCAGCATCTTCTGCCTCATTTCTGTCACAATGAGCCCAAGTGAGCAGTGCACTGTGGGAAAAAAAAAAAGATATGAATGAATATTTCTAGTTAGCTCCTTGTGCTCCTAACATACCATTTTATGTACTGGAGTATCTCAGCCTTAATAAAGTGCATGTAACCTTTTGCTGTGGATATACTTTGCACTCTCCAGTGGAACGTGGGTGCAGTTCTGTGATTGCACCAGTGCTGTCGGTAGGTTTGCGATAAGGTTTATGGCAGTGCTGGCTAGGAGTCAGTTTACTGAAGTAGAAGCTAATAATGGTTCTGGTTTTAAATACAGCAAATCTAACGTGACAGCTACAGCCCAGTGCCCTGTGCTGGGGAGCAGCCTCGTCACAGCAGGGGTGGTGCTGCTAAACATTAAGTGCCTGGAGATGAGGAATATATATTTATGTATGTGTATGAATGTTCATATATATTAGGATCCCATAAGAGATTCTGGAAAGTTAGGAGAGTGCTTTGCTTTTCCTGTCCTGAGGCAGAGTGAGGACTTCCTTCTCTTCCTATCTTTCCAGGTCCCAGCTGCAGGGAATGCTGCTCACCTGGATGTTCTTAGAGCCTGTCTTGGGCTCTGGAGTGGTTTGC